ATCATCCAGGCCAGGGGCCAGGGTCAGAGGCCACTTCTGCTGCCCCAGAGGGTGGAGCACAAGCAGGACTCAGGAGAGAGGCCCCCTCATCTGGATCCTGACCTGTGAGTCTCCGATTGGAAGGCACGCTTGTGGCCAGGTGAGAAGCTGCCTTCTGAGGCCCTACCACTGTGCTGCCCCGGCTCCATGCTCCCCAGCCCAGCGGCCCAGGTGAGCCTCTGGTCCTCAGTTCTGGCTGCCCAGGGACCGATGCTCCCTCACACATCAAACCCTGGAGCTGCTGCTGGTTAGCGCCTGGCTATGCACTGTGTGGCACTGCACACGCCGACCTCCGAGGTGGCTTCCCCAGCCACCTGGGTGACTCGTGATCCACTCCAGAATCCAGTCCCAAGGATTGGGCTGAGGACCATGTCAGTGGTATTTGTGTTGGGCTCGGTGCTCCCTAGAAGTATCACTTGGGTCAGGACTCAAAGGGTGGCTGTGAGCCAGGTGCAGTGGTACACACCTGTTACTTCGGAGGCTGAGACAGGAGGATGATGAAGGTGGAGGATCACCGTGACTTTGAGGCCAGCCTGGGCTACAAAGTGAGCTCAAGCCAGCCCAAACTGCATAGTGAGACGCTGCCTCAAAAAGACACTAAATAAGTAATAAATTCAACAAACGGCGGTCCTGGCTCATCAGGTTCTGAGCTGCCATGGAGACCAGGTCCAGAGCCCTGGCTTCCTTGCTCCTGGGACTTCACCCTCCCACCCCCTTCCCCATCCTTACCATGCCAAGGGCTGCTCTGGGGCTCAAGGCTTCAGTGGTTCTGGGCTCTAGAGCCATTGTATTGATCCAGAAGAGGCACTGAGGCCACCAGACGTGACACTGTCCCCATGGATTCTGGTCCTCAGGGCACTGGGCTGGTTCCAGCTGACAGGAGCAGAAAGGTGTACAGTGCAGCCGGGCAGGCTTGCTCCCAGCTCTGGGCTCCAGCTCTGCAGCTGGTGGTCCCACTACAAAGAGACCACAGGGAGGATGCTCTGGACCCTGGCTTCCCATCGGGCTTCATGCAGAGCCACCTTACCACTAGATAGTGGGCCTGCCTTTAGGGTCCTCCTGCTTGCTAGAACCAGTAAAGAGGTGATGATCAAAAATATAGTGAACTGGGGCTGCCAGATAGCGCAGCAGACTAAAGTCCCTGCCTAGACAGAGCACTGTGGCTGGGGTTCAATCCCTGGCGTGCTGTGCTGGCTCCTCCCCTGGGGTGCCTGAGATTGCAGTTGAGACTGGGCATGGTGGTGTGTGCCTATAATCCTAGCGCTTAGGAGGCTGAAAACAGGAGAATCACCATGAGTCTGGTCTATATAGTGAGACCCTGTAGACCCTGTACTAAATACAAATATATATATATATATATATATATATATATATATATATGGTGAATGACTTAAAGTGCATCATATGGGGCCGGGGAGATGGCTCAGTGAAATAAGCACTTCCCTGGCAAGCACAAGGGCCTGAGTTCTGCAAAACTCTGGTTCTGCAAATAAATAAATAAATAAATAAATAAATAAATAAAAAAATAAAATAATACATAAAGTGCATCTTAGCGCCAGTGGCACATGCCTATAATCCCAGCACTTGGGAGGCCAATGCAGGAGCATAACTATGAATTCAAGACCAGCTAGAGGGCTGGCCAAATAGCTCAGTAGATTAAAGTACCTGCTTAGGCAGACAAGGGGCCAGGAGTTTGATCCCCAGGCCTGGCATGCTGAGACAGCAGCGACTGAGGCTGGGCGTGGTGGTGCGCATCTGTAATCCCAGCACTCAGGAAGCTGTAAACAGGAGTATCACTAGGAGTCTGATCTATGCAGTGAGACCCTGTACACCCTGTCCTGAATAAAACAAAAACATAAAAAACTGAGCTGACTTGCAAGACCAGCTTGGGCTACACACTGAGTCTGAAGTTCAGACTGAATTGCATAGTGATACCTTATTTCAAAAAACCAAATGAATGAATAAATAATAAAGTGCAGCCCAGGGAAAGGCACATTGCCACAACCCCCCTCAGAACCTTCCTAACCAGTTCAAACACACTCCTCTCAGTGTTTCTGTCTCTTTCTGAAGCGGCTCTGGAGCCCTCTCTTCCTAATACTTGTATGAGGTGCGATAAAAAATACAGTGAAAGCTGCTGCCAGGCATCACCCAAAAGCAAGGCAGGCTGGACAGCACAACAGCGCGCTCACACAGTGTTCACTGGGCCTGGCATCCAGCAGCTTCTAGGACTTCCCCACAGTCAAAATGACCATGAAATGGAAAACAATTTTGTTTTTAATTTATGAATTAGGTACAAGATCTCACTATGCAGCTGGTACTTGTACTGATCCTCCAGTTTTCAGCCTCTCCAGTGCTGGGGTTACAGGTGTGTGCCCTCACACCCACTCTCAGTGGCCCGCTCAGTGTGCCCAGGGCCAGGGCCAGCACGGCGTGCGGTGCTGGAGGTCAAACTCCAGTCCCTGTGCTTGTCTGAGCAGGCACTTAGTGCACTGCGCTATCTCACCAGCCCGAAAACAATTTTTTTGAGTTAGGGTCTTGCTAGGTAGTTCAGACTGGCATCAACTTTGAAGCAATCTTATTGCTTCAGTCCTGGGATGTCAGGCGTGTACACAACACTCTTTAAGGTCAAGATTTTGAGTTGAGCCAGGGAGATGGGAGATGGCTCAGTGGAATAAGTGCTCCCCTGGCAAGTGCAAGGGCCTGAGTTCAGTTCACTTATTCCACTGAGTCATCTCCCATCTCCCTGGCTCAACTCAAAATCTTGACCTTAAAGAGTCAAGATTTTCCGCAAAAAAAAAAAAAAAAAAAGTTGAGTTGACTCAGGACATTGAGGTGGGAATGCCAGACAGGCAGCAGCAGCTACTACCTGGTGGCTCTTGAGTAACCCAGCACGTGTTGCCTGCTCCACCCTCCATACCCTCTGCCTTGCTGCAGCCTGCAGCTCCGGCCTCACTGCATCTTGAGTCTTCTCACTGATCCTGGGGAGGCGAGGCTCATCTTCCTGAGAGCTCGAGACATAGAGGCTGCTGCTAGGAGAACGCCTGCTGAGGCCGCACTGGGGTAGTAGATTACATGTGGGCTTGTGTATGGGGTACCTCTAGAAAGTTTAAACGCTGACAACACTACAGTATTTTTTTAATTCTTTTTCTTTTTCTTTTCTCTCTCTCTCTTTTTTTTTTTAAAGACAGGGCCTTGCTAAGCAGTCCAGTCTGGCCTGAAACTCAAACTCATGGTGATCCTCCTGCCTCCGCTTCCTGAGTGCTGGGACCAGATCGCAGGGTGCAGCACCACACTGGCTATGATTTTGACTCCAGAATGTCAGCTCTACTCACTGGGCAAAGAACAGCCTTTTCAACAAATGGTACTGGATATCTATGTGACAAAGAATGACGTTGGACCCTTGCCTGACACCATGCCCAAAACTTAATTAAAAATGCCTCACAGACCTAAAGGGAAGGTCTGAAATTCTAAAACTCTTAAATGAAAACAGGAGGCCTCTTGCTGCAGCAACGCGAGTGGGAGCACCAGGAGCTCGGGCTCGGAGCGAGACACTTCGACAAACCAGACGTGGGGGAAATCGCCAGCTTCATAAGGCCAAGCTGAAGAAGACGGAGACGCAGGAGAAGAACACCCTGCCGACCAAAGAGACCATTGAGCAGCAAAAGCGGAGTGAGATTTCCTAAGAGCCCAGACAATTCCCCGCCCCCGTCATCTCCGAGACCCCCCAGTCATGATGTGGAGGAAGAGCACTTGCAAGATGGACACGAGCCACAAGCTGCACTGTGAACCCGGGCATTCCGCGCCGATGCCACCAGCCCGTGGGTCTCTGAGGGGACCCCCCCAATCGGACTGCCAAATTCTCCGGTTTGCCCTGGGATATTATAGAAAATTATTTGTATGTTAAATGAAAATAAAACACATCTCGTGGCAAAAAAAAAAAAATGAAAACAGGAGAGGAAAGAAACTTCATAGCGTTGGGTTTGGCAATGGGTTCTTGGTGTGACACCAAAGGCACAGCAAAAGGAAGAAGGGAAAGTAGACTTCATGAAAATGTTTAAATTTTGTGCATTAAAACACAGTATTGGGGCCAGGGAAATGGCTCAGGAGAATAAGTGTTCCCTGGCAAGTGCAAGGGCCTGAGTTCAATCCCCGGTTCTGCAAAAAACAAAAAACACAGTATCAACAGCGTAAAACAGGGCAGGGAGATGGCTCAGTGGAATTAAGCGCTTCCCTGTCAAGCACAAGGGCCTGAGTTCAATCCCTGGTCCTGCCAAAAAACAAAATAAAAAAATAAAAAACAGCGTAAAACAACAACTCCTAAAATTGAGAAAAATTCAAGTCACACACCCGATAAGGGACGGAGTCCGAGCACGTGGAGGGAGGACTTGGGCACCAGCGCGGCCTGGGGCTGGGACCGCAGGCAGCGAGGCATGCGCGCTGCCGGTGTGCCGCCCCGCGGGCCTGCGGGCGCCAGCGAGCCACTCCCGGAGCCTCCACCAGGACCGGCCCTCCAGCTCCCGGCGCGTCTGTGGGCACCCGCTCCCCTGCAGATGCTTCGGGAGCCGTTCAGGTCAGTGCTGAGGTCTGAGGCTTGGCTCGCACCCTCCGGCTGGGGCACGGACGGCAGACGCACCGAGGAGGGACAGAGGGGCAGAGAGACCGGCGGACGGTCCCCGCCTCCGGGCGCCGGGGTGGGCGGGGCGCCGAGCGACGCCAGGCCGCAGACTGGCCCGCCCCCACCGCTCCGTGACCACGCCCACCCCCCGGATTGGCCTCGCGGCCGGGAGGGGCCGGTGACATCAGGGAGGGCGCGGTCAGCACCTCGGAGAGCGCCAGGCGGCGGCGGGGGGCGCGG